TTCACTTTTACAAACATGTGCTGTCAATTTAAAAAAATGAATTTGCGTATGTAAATAATCGGCTGTGTTGAAGTTTATGAAATATGTAAATGTAAAGGTCTAGTCCTGGGAAAATAAAATATTCGCGGTGCTTTATTCACAAAACAGAAATTAAATTGGATGTCAAAAAAGAAAACTTAGTTTCGGTTATAATATAAAAACAACAGTATAACTATAACCTCAGTAATGTTTATTGTTGATAAATTAGACACATGTGCAACCCAAGAGTTGCACATGTGTCTAATTTATCAACATGTCGGTTCTCCGAACCATTCATCTACAATGTTTATTGTTAGTAAGACCTGTTTTATATTATGCGGTGCATTTCTGGTCTCTTTATTGTAGAATGGACATTAGGTAATGTGCCTTGAAAAATGGCAAATGGCTGTAAACAATAAACACAAAAGCAGAAATTGGAAAATTGTTTAGATGTTTCGCTTCTACGCAGGAATGTGAGCTACACATTACTGTTCTGGGCTTTCCATGAGTGTATTGTTAAAAATTTATACATAAGTTTTATCTAATGATACAACAATTGTTGAAATACTAAATGGTAAGCGTTTAAAATTTATTTGCACCTAAAGAAATAAAATCGTCGCGTTGGAGTGTATGCAGTTGTGTTGGCAATCCTGGTTCCACTCCGTGGAAATACTCTCGTACAGCAAACTCGCACAACACCGTATTTCCACAACACTCTATATGGATTGTTTCTTAGTTTTGCTGATCATAGTTTACAATTTAAGGAATAGTTACTTTTACATTAAATTTACTCGGCATTATCTGACAGAAAATGGTATCTCTGGAACATTATTGCAGAGAGTATTATGCATCAGTCTTGTTGTCAGTCCTAAGATTTTAGTTTTTTTTTTTTTTCATCATGATCATATACGTGATTTTACAGAATAGTTAAATAAGTTTCATGTATTCTGATGATCTTGAACATTGCTACAAAAATGTTGCTGGTATGGCATTTAGTTGCCGTTGAGATGATACCAGCACTCTCACTTCCATAGTCGTTAGGAATTGCATTTGTTGGTTCTATTTTGATTTGCGAAATCATATGACACAATAACAAACAAATCAGAGAAGGAAATATAAACACTTAAGCAGTATAATGTGAGCCTTTATTGGTATTTTATACCTTTTATTTCCATCCAAATCAGAGAAGGGTGATTCACACACAGGCCTGTGAGTTTTGAGACTCGCTTGCCATGGGTTTAAGACTCATTCGTTCTATTTAGTTGTATTTGTAACTAGGTATATGCTTAAGGATTCTAGCTTCGTTATATGTTGAATTATTTGTGCAAGTTACCATAAGAGGAACATTTTGGTGTTCAGTGCGAGCACCTAAAATGTTCTCTGTCTTCATTCCAGGTGTGGTGCCTCTTTTAAAATAATAATGTAAGTTTTAGGTATTGTCGATGTGTTCTTGCTTTACCTTCTCTAAGTCAGTGAAGAAAACTAGCTCCTCGGATTCAGAATTGATGCTTAAGACTTTACTTAATGCTGCTCATAAGAACATAAGACTGGAACACTGCAGCAGGCCTACTCGCCGTACATAAGAACATCAGACTGGAGGAACACTGCATCTGGCCTACTCGCCGTACATAAACATGCAGGTCATAACAGTAATTAGAGACGAAACATGTCACTGCAGCTTCTTGCTAAATAGTGCACATAAAACGGAGTCAGTGGGGTCACCACTTGAGTATCACAGTAACCCGCAGCTCCTTGTACTTCAACCCATGCAGCAGTCCCAGCAGCTGTACCTCAACACCTTCAAGACACAGAATTGTATCTTAACACTTCTGAGACTTTGAATCTATAAACTCTCTGAATAGGTCCAGGAGCTGGCGATATTCTCAAGAAGCTTATCACTTGCAGCTTAACGCCGTAAAAGGGTTCAGGAGCTGTAGCTTAATGACCTCCAGAGGCACAGGAGCTGTAGCTTAGCACCTCCCGGAGGCACGGGGGCTGTGGAAATTGCATTTATCTGAATGTAACTCATTATGTACATAACAGTAAATGATAAGAAAGATAATTATTATTTATCAGAGTTACATAGACAAGTAGGAATTTGGGACACCTAGGTCGCAAAAATGTCCCCCTTCGATACCTACCACTGTCATATCCACAAGTTGCTCTGGACATATTAATTATCAAATGAAAAATACATCACCAGGAATGCTAGTAAATATATAAATTTGTGGACTGTATATTAAAAATAATAAATGGTTATATATATACACAATTACATAACAGAAGGAAAATATATCTTAATATCACTCACCAATTTGACTGGAGATTAATGTGTATCATACTCAGAAAACCTCACTCTAACTAAATCTATGAAGAAAATGCTGGCCAGAATTACACACAAATCTAGAGAGCTTATCTGAGGTTCCTGGAGCTGTCTTGTCCAGTCGTCTGATATCTCAAGTTATGCAGGAATGCACATCCACCAATTTCGCCTCCTATTTGAGAGGTGTCAACACAATTTTAACCTCTAGAGCACGAAAAATTCTTCCCATTATACCAACGTTTGTACAAAATTCAAAACCAAGATGGCGAGTCTCGTCTGCGCAGACGCAGGCTTTCCGTTTTCTATGACAAATATTATTAAATACAGTATGGCCATCTATTTACATATAAATACTGAATTTCTGGAAAATATATACAGTATTTTCCACAGGGGCTGCAGCTTAGCGCCCTCCGGAGGCACGGGCATGGCTGCAGCTTAGCGCCCTCCGGAGGCACGGGCATGGCTGCCATGACTTAACATGGACTACATAAGATATACTAGTGTTGAAATTTTCAGGGCGATGAATTACAAGAGGCATTATTCTATTGCTTGCAAATCAGTATTTCAAATTGTTTAATAAAACCGACAAACTAGGATTTACACAGCCTAGTAACATTGTCGACATAGCTTTTAGTAAAATGTTCAGCACTTAAAAGATTGAAGTTTAGACGAGTAGCATTCCACAGTTACTGCACACAAACCAACATCCCAACTTGTTCAATAAATTTAGCAAATTGTCACCTACATGAAACTCCCAAAAACCATTCCAAACCTTTATAAACATCAAATAAACCAGAAATGATAGTTTGTATCCAATCAGAACTGGAATTCTGTAGTTACTGCACAGAAACCATTATCCCTGTTTGTTCAATGAAATTGACTTAAGAGAATCCCATAATGTGAACTTTAAAGCAGAATACACCAAAGTTAAAAGTTTGAGGTTGATCAGAAGAGCCATTCTCTGTATATTGTCTAGACTGATAGGTTAGGTAAGGTTCGTCAGGAAACAGGACAAATGTTTTCTGATGCGGGTCTTAGCCAGATGACCCGCCTTTGGAGCTTTTGGTCATCTGACCGAGGCCTTCCGCTGGTTACCGGTCCACCCCTTTAAAAAGTATGATCATGTAGAACCATAAGTAGCTTTCTACTGATAATCCTCACCTTCATAAAATATATTGTTAAAAAATTTACAAATTTGTGCCATCACAGCCTAAAGCTGAACCGATGTATCAGCTTTTCAAGTTTGAAGCCGTTCGGAAGATGCATTCTCATGTTATCGCAGGGTAAATATCACAATATCCTTAAGAATGAGATTGGCAAACTTGCAGCTATATTGGCCAGTAACCGTCCAAACCTTTTTCTATGTAAGAAACTGAAACCTGTCACAATTTGGTTCATAAAATTAGTAAATCAACACCTACACTACTTCGTTCCAATCAGAGCATTCCTTTGAGATACACCTATGTTGGAAAGTTTATGGCCAAACGGAAGTCATTCTTAAGTTGTCACATAGAAACATAAGAACAGAGAAGCACTGCGGTATAGATATCCCTCTTTCGATGGAAATTCAAGGGCCTTAATGGGTTATCCTAGGTAATTTACACTATGTATGATAATTGTACTTATGTGTATCTGCGCTTAAATAAAATTAAGAAAAAGGTACAATACCGTGACTGGAACAATATACAAATGACCCGCACATAGGAGAGAGAAGCTTATGACAACGTTTCGGTCCTTCATGGATCATTTACAAGTCACTAACACACGAAGGTGAGGGAACCAGTGTATATAAGAGAGGGGGTAGGGACTTACCCACAAGTAATTAGTTAAATCCAGCCTACCAGAGTCTGTGGCTTCCCGGGAAACTGGAACCACCTACTGCAAGTGTAACATGATATACATGTATTTGTCTGGGAGGAAAAGTTAAGGACGTAGAAGTGAGGTATTTTAGTGTAATGTATGTAAATGGTGTTAAATTAAGAAATTCTGGTACCATTCCAAATATGTGTGGGTCGACGTCAAAACTGGACTAGTAGCCAAGGACCACAATGGATATAAGTTACTTAAACATTTTTGGGTTATCCTAGGTAATCTGTATATATGAATGATAATTTATGTAACTATTAGTGTACCTATACCCCGAGGGCCTGGGTTCGATTCCCGGCGGGATGGAAACATTTCGACGCGTTTCCTTACACCTGTTGTCATGTTCACCTAGCAGCAAATAGGCACCCGGGTGTTAGTCGACTGGTGTGGGTCGCATCCTGGGGGACAAGATTGAGGACCTCAGTGGAAATAAGACAAGACAGTCCTTGATGACGCACTGCCTTTCTTGGGTTATCCTGGGTGGCTAACCCTCCGGGGTTAAAAATCCGAACATCTTACAAGGTCAGTTTTGTGTACTATCTTGAGTGGTGCAAATACTCTGTACTTTAATTTATCTAGTATTTTAATTTTATTTTGAAAGTTTTTAAGCGCATTTCCGAATCTGGAAACACTTGGATCAGGGAACGCTTAGTGTATGACGTCACGATGCAAAACAAACTCTTGAGATAAACGGGACGAGTACGACAACTAGTGTGTGTTGTTGTGTGGGGATGGGGGCGGGGCAGCCATACCACTCAACCTCACACTGGCTCACAAACTCTAGCCAGCTGCACTTCAACTCAGTTGCCTTCCAGCTAGTGGAGCGGGAGGTTGTTGCTCTTCTGCGTTATTTGAATCCTTCTTTTAGGAACTTGACTGTTGATTAGGCTTTTATGCCTGGATTATACGTATTATGAGTTTAACGAGTATTTTCTTCGCTTCTTATTTGTAAAAAAAAGTATTAAAGTGGTGCATAACGTTTACGGTAGTGGTATTGGAAAATGTGTAGGTAAGATAATTTAATTGCAAGTGTAATGATGACAACTTTGAAATAAATTTACTTATTAGAAGTATTAATTTTTATCTACCGTTACTTAAGATGCTATGGTTAAGTGTGAATGACTGAGTGACTGTCCCAGTCTTGTCTCGTACAGGAACACAACCAAGCCACAGGCTTCCTGCTGTGTACTTTTAACCTTGTTAAATAATGCATCTGTATACTCGCGCAATCCTGTGTAAAACTGTTGACTCGTTTGGCAAGAAATAGAAACCGGAGAGCTGCATATTAAGGCCTCGAAAATTTCTTGAATAAAATTATAAATGGGGAGGGGTGCCCTTGATGCTGGTGAAAATGTAGCCGCCCGCAGCTTCCTCGCATCAAGCAGATTACTCCATTACCCAGGCGCCGCCAAATCCTTAAGGGTTTAGCTGAATCTTCAATGCAAGGAAGTGGATTAGGCTTGCCGGAGTTGCCTTGACGTTGATGATTGGCTCTTGATTCAAAGAACTGGGTCTATCTTCCCTTGCAAAGAAATAAATCACACTTTTGTCTATTGAGTTATCTAGAGTCAAGTCACGTTTGATGGGTTATCTTAGGTTAAATCTACATAATGTACTTTTTATATGCCCTTATGTGATACCTTAAGACCATTGTAACAAAAAATGCAGAATTTTTACTCTGAATAAAGGCATAATGGTCTCCAAGCGCTGTATAATATACGGGTTTAGCTATCCCCCATTAGTTTAATATTAGAACAACAAACACTGGTAAACTAAGTGGCAAATAGAATTCGTAGCAGACAAATGCAAGATATTAATAAGAATATATAACATAAGAAGGAACACTGCAACAGGCCTACTGGCCCATGCGAGGCAGGTCCAAGTCTCCTACCGGCACCCAACCTAGTCAGGTCAGGTCACATTCACTTAAGGAAGGAGCACGGCGTCAGACCTAGTAGCACAAGTTAGTCAGGTTCATCTCACGCCCACTCGTGTATTTATCTATTTTTAAAACCACAACGTTTTAGCTTCTATAACGGTACTCGGGAGTTTGTTCCATTCATCCACAACTGTTACCAAACCAGTGCTTTCCTATATCTTTCCTGAATCAGAGTTTTTCCAACTTAAAACCATTGCTGCGAGTCCTGTCTTGGCTAGTATTTTTAGCACGCTGTTACATCCCCTTTATTCCTGTCTTTCATTTATACACCTCAGTCATATCCCTCCTAATTCTACGCCTGTCTAGAGAGTGTAGATTCAGGGCCCTCAGTTTATCCTCAGAGGGAAGATTTCTGATACATGGGATCAACTTTGTCATCCTCCTTTGTACGTTTTCCAGAGCATTTATATCCATTCTTTAATACGGTGACCAAAATTGTGAAGCATAATCTAAATGAGGCCTAACCGAGGATATATAGTTGAAGAACAACCTGAGGACCCCTATTATTTTTGCTTCTTGATATGAAGCCTAGGATTCTGTTAGCTTTATTGCGAACAGTTGTGCACTGTCTTGGTTTTAGCTTACTGCTAACCAGAATTCTCAAATCCTTTTCGCAATCGGTAATAATATGAACATGCCAATTGAAAGGAGACAATCAAAGAATGTGAAATAAGAGGATCTAAGAGGTAGGTAGCACACCTAACCTCTTGGTATCATTTGCGGTATATATAAAGCTGACATATAAGGGTTTATCCTGGGTTATTAACAACAGAAGGTTAACCAATAATAATAATTATCTTTATTTACTACAAGTACATAAGTGCAACTAATGTGACATTTTATAGTGGCAACGTTTCGCTCTCCAGGAGCTTTATCGAGCCCTTACAAACAATACAAGGACACAGAGGGTATATAGGCTCAGAGTGAGGTGCGGTACTAGTGGTAGTGGTAGTAGTAGTAGTGATAAAGTTGTAGTAGTAGTAATACAATATGGTAGAACAATTCGTACATGAATAAAAGGATATAAAAGCTATTACTTGGGTAACATAAAAATAGGTTGGACAGATATAGACTGGATAGAGGCAGCCTGTTTTGTTCACTCTCTGTAATGTGCTTTGTGTAGTATAACAGGAGAGACTATGTGATGGCAGGGTTTACTGTTTTCAGGAGGATTCTTGCTAAGACTTCAGAGATGGTGAAGCTGCCGTTGTTTTGTTTAATTGTATTCGAAACAGCGATCAGTGCTGATTCTAGGCACTTGCGTCTGCGGAAATTAGTTTCTTTGATCACTAATTGGGCGTCCCTGAATTTCATGAGATGACTGGTGGAATTTCGGTGTTGTACACAGGCGTTGTTCAGGTTGTCTAATTTATCAACATGTCGGTTCTCTGAACCATTCATCTACAAATCTGTCAGACACTGCAACTTCTTGGGATCTTAATACTTAGGAATTCTTCGCTTGCCAAATTCTTGGGCACGACCTACTTCCACATTGAACAAATGTGACACGACCTATGACTGCTGCACCTCTCCTGCCATACGGTTTATAAGCTGCCTCTCCGCTCATATGCCGCATTCTATTCAAGATTGATGGATTGAACACATCGACTCAAGTTGAAGATTGAGACACTTATGCAGCATATGGGAATCTTTATTCAGGAAACGTTTCGCCACACAGTGGCTTCATCAGTCCAATACAAAGAGGAAGGAGGAGAATGAGGTAATCAGTCCCTCAACCTGGAGTCGATGTGTTCAGTCCATCAATCTTGTAGAATGTGATGGACTGAACACATCGACTCCAGGTTGAGGGACTGATTACCTCATTCTCCTCCTCTCCTTACGCCTTCCTCTTTGTATTGGACTGATGAAGCCACTGTGTGGCGAAACGTTTCCTGAATAAAGATTCCCATATGCTGCATGTCTCAATCTTCAACTTGTCGGTTTTTCAAACCATTCATCACATCGACTCAAGGTTGAGGGACTGATTACCTCATTCTCCTCCTGTTCTTCAAGTTTCTCCTACGTACGGACTGATGAAGCCACTGTGGCGAAACGTTTCCACAATAAAGATACCCAAGAGTTGCACATAACAGTTGGTGTTAGGAGGGAGGGACCTTCCCATATACATGGTTCAAGGATGGTTTTATTTTGTCAGAAAAAAATGGATAAATTTCTCCTGGTGCGGATCTTAATCATACGATTGTTTGTACACTTCATAAAAGTTTATACAGTATAACATTTAAAGATAGTTGTCAACTTTCAGCAGCCTCCTTGTCTGTCTACCCCGCTGCCGCTCAAGTGATGTTTCTTGATACCGGTGAGTGGCTCTTAATCCAAAGAATTTGGCCTGCCCTCTCCTTGTATTAAGCCTGCTTGCGTCCCACTGTGCAGTAACCCCTACGGATATAGAGCTTCATCATAAATATAATACCACTGCCTGACACTACCCTCGCAGTTACGTAATTTGCTTTTCCCATCCTCTATCTAGACCGTTTTCTAAAGCCTTTACCTACGTCACTCCCCCTCCCCGATGCTGGGTGACTGTACAACAGTGGTGGGGTTGGAGTGGTCTGTGCTTACTGGTAGGGGCTTCTCCCTGGGAAAGGTGCCATTCTCTCCACAGAGAGCTTGTCTCACTAAAACCCAACTTCCCTCTCGGCATAAATGGTGGAGATATTTTCCCACTCTAAATTGTTGATACTATGGCCGATAACATGGAACGAATTATGAATATAGGTTGGGGAATGTGGAAAGCATTTTGGATAGTGTTAATTGTTTTTTGTAATATATATATGAAAATGAATTGGCCATGATAGTATCGAGGTGACAGTGGTTTACCTGGAGAGAGAGAGTTTACCTGGAGAGAGTTCCGGGGGTCAACGCCCCCGCGGCCCGGTCTGAGACCAGTGATGCTTTGTGATGCTTTGCAAATAAAACTTCACCAGGTGCTTCATGATCTTTACAGGTTCGCTTTATCTTTATTATGACACTTTTCTGTTGCTGTATCACATAACCCCAGCGCCTTGTACCTCAATGCACTCGATAGGACTAGCAACTTTACCGCGAAACACTAAAGCTCAGCTTCAGGAGAAAAAGGAACTATAAACTTTCCCGAGAGGCCCAAGAACGTAAGCTGAACACAATCAAGGAAAACAGCACCTGTAGTTTGAGTCAGGACCTGTGGATTAACACTCAATATGCCCAGGAGCTTGGACTCAAACTGAAAATGAAATGAAGCAAAGCTTGGCGTGTTATGTCCGTAGGGTTCTGGGATCCGTCAAGGCGTGTACTTATATGCACTCGCCTATATGTGGATGCAAGGGTCAATTCACAGCTCCTGGGCCCGCCCCAGAGAGAGTATTTTGGAAACCAATAAACTGGTCGCTATGAAATTTGCACTAGTTTGCTATGTTAGGCGCTAAACCGATGTGGGTCATTCATATATATATATATATATATATATATATATATATATATATATATATAATATATATATATATATATATATATATATATTATAATGAAAAAAATCAGGTAATTTGTTTAATTTGATGGTGTAAGATCAAAATAAATATTATTAAGATAAGATTTGTTTGGATTTTTAACCCGGAAGGTTAGTCACCCAGGATAACCCAATAAAGTCAGTGCGTCATCGAGGATTGTATTAATTCCATTGGGATTCTTGAATCTTATTCCCCAGGATGCTAATACCCAGGTACCTGCGTACTGCTAGGTGAACATGTGCAGCAGGTGTAAGGAAACATCCTCACGCTCAGCGTTTCCACCCGTGCCGGGGATTGAACCACGAACACTTCAGTTTGTGAGCTGAGCGCGCTATCAACTGAGCAACGGGACAGCTAAAAGAAATTGAGGATAAAAGAATACAGAAAGTGGTGTGATTATATTAATGATACCCAAGACCAGTAAGTAGATGAATGAAACACACGGAGACGTTTCGCCAAGCAGTTATTTCATCTGTCCAGTGAAGAATAATTACTGGACAGTGGAAGACATGACACGTCAGGCAGTGGGGTGTGTAGAAAATAGAACTTTTAATCTCCCTCCATCTT